GGAGGTGTTTAACAGTAGATGTAGTTCCTCTCCCCTTCTCTTCTCTGTGTTGACACATCCAAAAGGCCGAGGGACACAAAGTAGATCAAAGAAACCAGAATAACTTAGGGACACTGACAAATTTATGAAAATCATCCTCTTGATGAACACTGGGCTGTTCTGAAAGAAAGATATAGCAAGAAAATATATCTTGCTACCACATCTCTCTGACAAGAAGGGCAGTCAGAAGACTCCAGGGCGAGAGAGAGCCAAGACATTCAACTTTCTAGAAACTCCGAAGGGGGCTGGAAGCAGAAATCATAGCTCTGCATTGCATAATAGAAACACCTTCAGTATTCTTGACTATCTAGCTAGAAGGTCTTACTTTCACCTTAAAAGTATCTGATATATTTTTCTGAACCCTGCTAGGGTCCTTTGGTAAGATAATTATATGATTTTTTTTTTTTTTTTAAATCAAATATATCCCGTGCAGCTGTATCTGGGACCTGATACCAGATCACATTGACATTTATTTAAAAAGGATCAGAAAAATTATTTAATATGTTAAGGGGATAAAAAGGGAAGGAGGTAGACACTCTCCTGTTGAACTTCCACTGGCTTCAGAGAAAATGGCAAGACTGACAGAGATATCCTCATTCTCTGCTCTGTTTCAGTTTGCTGAGAATAATTACATTCTCTCCCCTAGAGTAATTTTGGAGGCAAATGGAAGAAAGGTAAGTCTTCTTCAAAAAAAGTAAACATTTAAATTCTTGATGATAAAAACGCCATTGAGAAAGTTTTCTACCATTTTGTCCCTTCTCCACAAAGCAAAAAAAATCAAGTTGAAAACCCATGAATGTCAGCATAGGTCACTCAAGCTGCAGGTCACCCACAGCTTTTGGGACACACTACCTGGGCTAAACTCGACAGTCGATTCACTATATGTGCAACCTGGGCTTTTTAGAAGCATGGTAATATTTTTTTAATGACAACTTATTCACATTCCCCCCTTAATTCATTGCCCTCTACTAGTAAACTTGTGGCACATCAACTCCTAAGTGAAGTAATATTGAAGAACAAAACAAAAAAATACCAAACAAAAAACACAACCATACATACTTTACCACAAATATGCCAAGCATAAGGAAAATTTGGTTTCTGGATCTGTTATCAAGTAATATTTCAAAAAGTCAAGAGATAAAAGTTTATCCCAGGAAGAAAAAAAGAAGGAACAGATGCAGCTTGCAGTCTGGAACAGCATACAGCACGTGACAAAGTTTGGAAGGAAAAGCCTGTATCTCCCTTTTTACCTCACCAAGACAAAATATACAAATAGCTGTAATCCCCTCCCCATTTGGGGGTCAATAAAACAACTGTTAATGCATATGGTATTGTAAAATGTTTAACAGTAAAATGCACCCATTTGGCTTTCCCTAGAATTCTGATTTTTTTGGACTTCATGCCAAATCAACTATGTAATTTCTCAGTGCAGTAATATTAAGAGATGCTGCTTACCTTCTGAAATATCACTCTACTGCTCTGACTGAATAAATGTAATTCTCTCCCTCCCCAACTCCAACTATCATGAAACAGATGGAAAATACATTACACTAGAAGTTCTCAAAGAATTATTTTCTCCTTCAAATACCAATCACAGATCGCAGTGTGATCCTTACACGCACAACATATCGACTGGACTCCACTGTGAGAAAAAAAATTGAAGTTAGACCTATTGGGAGTCCACTTCAGTTAGTGAGAATTTAATTGTTTTTTTCTGTTTGAGTTTTTTTTTGGCCAGAACAGATGCAATAAATGATGTTGGAAGAAGTGACTGTTTCTAAGTACCTTTCTAGTACCTTTGCTAGGTACCTTTCTATACGATCCTTTAAAATGCACGACTTCCACACCTAAGCCTAGTGCCACACACCAGCAGGCATAAGAGCAACACTGAGAAGATAGTGTCCTTGCACATCAGCAAAAGAATCTGCAATTCAAAGTTCAGAGGCTCATCTAGTTTTCTCATGTTTGTTTCACCAAGCTTTAAGATTTTGTTTTAAATGACGATTGTGAGCTCTCTGGAATTCGGCTTTCTTATGTATGTGTGTTATCATGATAGATCACTGAGGTGGCATGGACTCCTTGGCACACCTATAGTGAGAAGTAATCAGTGTACATCCAAGAAAAGGGGGGAAAAAAAAAAATCAGCTTGAAAGATTGAGCACTGAAGAAGGAACACATGGGAGCTCATTTTCCAGGTTATGTGTTTCACTGCTCATAACTGTTTCTTCCTTATCCTTCCCAGCATTACCACTTACGTTCATGCAGCAAAAAAATCTTCTGGCAACACTTCCAGTGCAGAGTTGTGTATAAATCAAAATTCAATTGTTTTAGTACCTGAACTCAATAAATTTCACACACAGGAGAGAAGCTGTATGCAAAAGGCACACATTCTTCAATCACAGCCAGCCAATCAAGCTAGCATAACACAAATGAAAATCCCCACTGAGTTACAGGCTGAAGAGCTATTTGGAACTACAATGTGGCCATCTACTCCTACCTTTGCTACAACGCAGCCAGATAAGGTATTATTCTGTATCTTTAAAAGACCTTCCTATTGTGTTAAGTTAATTCAGCTGAGCTATAGCAAGTGCGAGAGAGGAATCACAGACTTCTGCCCATCCAGAGCACAATGCTTTCTGCCATGAGTAGTCCCAAAGAAGTCACGCAGCATGCCAGGTACAAAGTATTTGCAGAAGTGAGCCCTCAGACAGGGCTATAAAAGCTCTGGGTTAAGGAAGCACACGCCAACTTGCTTCTGCTTGATCTGTTACACAGCTTGACAGTAACAGATAGCCAGTTGCATTAGTGTCAATGTTCAGATAAGTTTCTCTCAATATCTGTCACAAAAAACAGACGCCGTATCAGTGTGCCAGCTGTATTATCGGTCACTACATAGTTGATCATACTTAATAACATCCTCGAGCACAGACACGGCTAACAAGTATCACAGACGGCAATTACTATTGTGCGCCACAGTCGCCCGGAACGTTCTGACTCAGAGCTGCCAACGGCGCGCGTTCGGCGAGTGCCTGCCTCCCACCTTTTCCCTCTCAAATACATTAACTTGCCTCAATATGGAGCCAGAGTTTGTTTTGAAACTCTTAACAGGATCACTGAAAGAAAAGAGGAAAAATACCATAAATGATCCTCTGGACTGTTTCCAGAGTAGCGTATTCTCATAGCGATTGCTTTGGAAGCAAGCCAAAAATGGGAAGTGTTCTTGCAAATGAGCACGCTACTATACTCAAGTACAAGTTATCATTTAATTCTTTTGTCAACATCAGCACAGTTAGAAATTAAGAAGCCTGTTTAATAAACAGGTTACTTGAATTCCAGTTACCAAACAACCAATTTCTTCTCTATCCATCCTCCCCACACTCACTTAGCTCCTGTCCCCCACCCACTTCCCAACATACACTGCTTTCTTTTTCAGATACTTTCTCTCCTTTACTGAAAGTCAAATAAAATTAGTATATTAATTATATCAGCCATGGCTAGGTCTGTAATCAAGAGTAAGTTAACTAAGAAAAGGAAAAAAGTCAGTCGCTCAAAAAAAAACCCTCTCAAAAACCTCAAAATAGGCTTCTATGGGACACAGCGCTTAATTTTTTTAACAGAGCCTTAATACAGTCTGCTGAATGGTTTCGTGGGGGCAGTTTTTCACATTACAATTACTCCTAATGAGATCACCCTCTGCAGTGTATAAGCCCTCATCCCTTCCCAACAGAACAATGAAAGATTTGTGTAAGGCTACAAAGGCCTCAGATCAACTCCACTCACTTCACCTTGTACCAAATTTCTTCATAAAAACTCATCAAGAACACAATCATGTTTTTTTTTTTTTCCTGAGGACAAATTATTAATAAGAAGACTCATTTATTTTGTTTTAGGGTGTTCCTAATCCTCTACAGATGTTGAAGTCCTCAAACAGACATCTCAGACTTAGTGACTGCTGCCAGCTTTGTTTTTGAGATTCTCTGTGCAGATTTGTGGGGTTTTTTCCAGTTTTTGACTTACAGCATTTCTCACCTATTTTACAATAAAAATATGGTGATATATAACTCGTGTTATCCCATGATAAAAATGATACACCTTGTGTTAAATGTACACGAAAATACCTGTCTTCAAACAAACCACCTCTTCTTTTACTGTAAGCAAAGACAATGAAATGTCCTTTCTCGCACTAAGCAGAAATGTCTTGCACATGTAGCCTCAGTGACAGCAATGCTAAGGTTAAGTATCATTCTAAGAATAAGGGTAACTAAATCAGTGTGAATTAGAAAGTAAAACTCACTAGTCTCTGATTTGCTAGTATTTTAAACTAATCATCATGATCCCATGGAAAGCCAAAAGTTTAGAGTTAGTTTTGTGCAAAAAGATATTGTAGAAAGGAAAACATACTTTATTCTGAAAACTTGATATTCTGTTTGAAAGATCTATCTTGTGTTTGATTTTTTACACACTCAACACAAACCTCTAACTCGGTTTTTATTGTGTGTGTATTCTTCACGTTATTAACCTCACCTCATTCTAAGTTTACTTCCTCAGTTTTAGTTTCCTTATAACTCTGTCACAGATCATGTGAAAGAACAAATTGTTTAATACCTGAGATTATCGATACAATGTTCTGTGATAGGTATTACTTGCTGAGCGTGACCAAGAGGTACAAGGAACATCACCTTAACCAGTTTAAAATGCTAGTCCTGAATCTATATTTACACTTCATACAACTTTAACTTTTCCTGTTTAAATTTAAAAATGCAGCATGCATCCACTGATTTCCATATCCAGAAGGGCTGAGAGTGCTTTAGATTAGCCAGTGTGAAGTTTACAGACTGAGGATCTGAAAACTTTAAAAGCAGACTCATGATGTATTTCTTTTTTTTGGGGTGGGAAGAAAAAAAAGCTGGTAGACAATGACCTATGATGTACATATTACAGCAAGTTGTATGTTTACTTACGTTCACACGTGTCTCCTTTTTGCTGGTATCCTGCTTTGCAGATACATTTTCCAATAGGCACTAACCATTCTCCCTCCGCACTGCAGTGCATCTTCGGCGAGTTCTCCGCCTCCTCTTCCGCACTGCTGACGCAAGTTCCTCGTACTTCAACTAAAGAGGAAAACTCTGAGCCAGTCACTGTGTCAGGAAAAATAGCTAAGTTCTCAATGATGGACCAGCACTTCTTGTAGTAGACTTTGACAGAGACCAAAGCAATGCAGGCCCCTACATCCTGAAACGCAAGATAGAATCCTTTCTTGGACAAAGGTCCAATTTCTCTCACCTCTGTGTTAAGTTTCATTTTTCTCTCCCCAAGATCACCCTGGGTAAAACTTTCATCTGCTGCAATAGTGTCTATTTTTACATATTGGTTTTCTCGGATATTCCTGCCAGTGTCGTAGTCTGTTTCATAATAATACAAGTTAAAAGTTTCTTTACAAGTCCCCAGAACTCCAGGAAGACTGTTACAATCCCTCAGAGTGAATTTCAGTTCTACAAAAATCCTTTGTGCATTGCTTTTTGCAATCCAGTTAGTCCGAAGCCAGTTGTTTTGGTTTGATTCCATCACCTGGCATACCTGGTATGTTCGTATAGGAGTGTAGTTTTCATCCAGTCCACTAATTTCTTCCCACTAAAACAATAACAAACAGTTAGTAATACAAAACAAGTATGCCACCAGATGTAACTACTGTGTATTTTAAAAGGCTTCACACAGCTCAAGTCTCCCTCCTTTTTAACAGTATGGCTTCACAAAAAACAGGTTATAAACACCCAAATGAAGAAAATACATATTAATGCAGCTGCAGGCTCTCTCTCCCTCAACGTCTTTCCCACATATAAATAACTTCTAAAAATCATCGTCATATCATGGGCAGCGTTGTAAAGGGGAAGCTTCAGAGAAGGCTGTTCAACACACCGAGTTCTGATTACACATTGGGCTCTCCCACATTTCATTAAAGTCATGACAGTTTTGGGTAAGCAAAGACCAAAAGGAGGGAGGCAGCTTCGCTTCCAGAGAAACCTAAAATCGGTGAAGTCTTAGAGACTGAAAGTGCCTAGAGTTACAGTACATAAAACTTGTGTACATAAAACCTCCAGCGGAACTTTCAGTTGTACGGAAAGCACGGGACCAGGTCCTGAAACTCGTGAGTCAGACTCCTATACGATGAAAGTGGCAGAGAGAGAGAGGGCAAGAGAAAACAGACAGAATTAAAGATCTGAAAGCATGAAAACATTTTGGTGGTCCTCTTTTTGTTCCGTCTGCCTCCTGTTCTACTTACAAATCAAAGAAGGTAAGCGGGAGCTCCTCACCTCACATTTTGTTCAGTGGCTGCATCCATGTTTAAAGGAGCAAACTTCATTTAGTTGGGAGTTCAAATGAACCATGAGATTACATATGTAATTAAGAACAACCCACATGACCGAAAGTTCACGGGTTCAAAGCCTGGTTTTTGTTGTTGTTCCCTCTTTAGGACACCAACTATGTAACAAACCAGTAAGCCTGTAACAGCCCAGTAGTCTTTAACAGCCTTTAGTGGCGTGGGAATTCGCACCTCCCGCAATGGCAAACCTTCCACTGAAAGCAACTGGGCGGATCTGCCCAGGTGTAACCTAAACAATATCTGCCTCACCTTTTTTCACATTTCTTGTAACATTTAATTCACTGCAGAAACTGCAGCTGTAATAAATTAGGGGCAGGGGGGTGAGCTATCCTCACCCGACGATACAGGCAACCATGACTTCTCCGTATGGCACTTAGCCCTCTGGCCCTGTGTCAATAATGCACTTAAGCTCACGCTTAAGATCAATGACAGTACTTATGAGCTTAATGGTAAGCATGTGCTTAAGTGCTTTATGGGACTAGGGCACCTCTGCAGGATGGAGCAACCACTGACTTTCCCTA